CTGGAGTGCAATGGCACGATCTCAGCTCACTGCAACTTCCGCCTCCCAGGTTCAAGTGATTCTCCTGCCTCAGCCTCATGAGTAGCTGGGATTATAGCCTAAATTTCAACATGTTGGCCAGAGTGGTCTCGAACTCCTGACCTCAGGTGATCAGCCCACCTCGGCCTCCCAAAGTACTGGGACTACAGGTGTGAGCCACTGCGCGCGGCCCCCTCTGCTTTAAAAACCACGACTGGTTCCTCGTGTCCTTCTGCGGGGCCCTCAGTCTCGCTCCTTCATCTGCTATACAAAATCCTTCACAACCTGTTCCAGGCTTCCCCACCAACACCACACAACAGGATGTGCCTTGTCTTTCTCTTTGGAATGCCCTGTCTTAACTTCTGCCCGGCCCGGCACGGTGGCTCACGCCTGTAATCCCAACACTTTGGGAGGCTGAGGCGGGTGGAACACGAGGTCAGGCATTTGAGACCAGCAAGGCCAACATGATGAAACCTTGTCTCTATTAAAAATACGAAAAGTAGCTAGGCATTGTGGCAGGCGCCTGTAATCCCAGCTACTCGGGAGGCTGAGCAGAGAAGTGCTTGAACCTGGGAGGCGGAGGTTGCAGTGAGCGGAGATCGCGCCACTGCACTCCAGCCGGGGCAACAGAGCGAGACTCTATCTCAAAAAAAATAAAACGAAAAAAAACTTCTGCACATCCTTCAGAAAGACTGTCCTCATATGTTCTCCGCTCCACCCCCGCCCGGGCCGAGCGCTGTTAGTGGCTGTGTCTTCTGACTCAGACCTCTGTAATAGCATTCCTGGGTAATACCTGTGTATGTGTCTCCTCAACTATTCTAGGAAGTCAGGGGCCATGGTAATTCATATGTGTCCCCATCGATTGGCATAGTAAATAGCATAAAATAGGCACGGATGGGTGGGTCGATAGATGGACCGATGGATGCGAGCGAGTGAGTGAGTGGATGTTAGCTGGGATGGGTGGGTGAAGGAGATGGATAGTCAGAGACATTGGAAAAGGGAACCCTGCGAAGATCAAATGTAGACACCAGGAGGAGCTGACACGCTGCGGTGAAGAAGCGGGAGGGCTGGCCACAGAAGGCAGCACGCTCCGCGTGGAGCAGGTGAGCGGCGCGCACTGAAGCAAGTATCACGCAATTGAACTGCTCACCCACGTGTTCCCCCCCACCATCCTCCTTCCCAGACGGCGCTTCAGCTCATTCCACCGCCCCCAACAGCCCGGTCGCCCCCACCGCCACTGAGAAAGCAAACAAAGGGGAGGAGACCCCTAAAGGTTCTGGATGCCGAGGGCCAATCGAAAGACTTAGATCCCCTGGAAGGCGGGCGCCTTGGTTTAGGGGGGCCCAATCGGTTTCAAGGGGTTGCGGCGGGGCGGGGAGATGGGCGGGA